TTGTTCCGGAGGTCCATTCTTAACCTGAAACTGTTCTTAACCTGAAGCACCACTTTAGCTAATGGGGTCTCCTGTGTGCTGCCGGAGCACGATTTCTGTTCTCATCCTGAAGCAGAGTTCTTAACCTGAGGTACTATTTCTGGGTTAGCAGAGTCTGTAACCTGAAGCGTATGTAACCTGAAGCGTATGTAATCTGAGGTACCACTGTACATTTTTTTCTTTCGTGGTAATGAAGAGTACGTAATGACATGTAATTTCCCAGTGCATATTATTTCTGTGTCAGTATTGGAGATGGAGGGTGGCATTCAACAAGAGGATGAAACAATCGTTCTAACTGAAAAAAAGCATTCTTTACTTCTTAACCTTACTGGTGATATTTACAAGAGAAATAGCAAGCTTATGGAGGTTTGCTGAGGGTAGCTGGTGCCTTCAGATGACACAGAACAGCTGCACTTCTTGGCCTTATGTCTGCCTGCTGTTCTAATTGGGAAAGAGTCTAATAAAACTCAGAAGGAAAGATATTTTCCCTATAAAGGTATAGTTTGAATTTTGGCACAAAAAAGCAACAACTTTCTGCTATTGACCCAGCTGGAAAGAGTGAATAAATTCATCAATCCACAGTATATAATACGGTACATTTAGCTCCAAACTAAAAGAGAGAGCCTATTGCTGACTAAATAGCATAACTATTTCTGAACTATGCACTCTTACTTGAGAGCAAGTTCCATTGAACATCGGCTTGTGTGATAAATGGGAAAAATAATAATGTGTACATTGGGGGGTTTGTAGTTTCTGTATCCTACTCTTTTTTTTTGTTACATCTCAAATTCCTTTTCCAAATTCAAATACAGCATTGTTTGATTTTAAGCACAGCTTTCAGCTTTTATGTGTGGATCCACAGGGGAAAAAATCCACAGATTTCCCCTTCTTTTCACCTTCCCTCTCCATCCCACTCCATGCTTCTCAGTACTTTGGAGCCAGCTCAGGGGACAGCAGCTGCTGTCCCTTTGCTGGAATACCCATTCTGCAGCCAGTGATCAATGAAGGCTGCAGTCCTAAGTACATTTCCTTGGGAGGAAGATCTGCTCAAAGCAATGGGACTTTATTCTGAGTAATCATTAGAGCAAGCTCTTCTGTTGGCCTTGGCCAGTGATCCTCAACACGTATACAATTAGAGTGCATTTAAAAATTAAGACGCTGTGGTGGAGGCAACTATTCTATGCCACTGGATCAGGGTGGCCCAGTGCAGGATCGATCCCCTCCTTGTTGTAGAGCCAGCAGATGAGCAGTGAAATCATCACAAGAGAGGAAGCTAAGGAACACGGCTGAAAGGCAAGGGGCCACCCCAGAATCATCACCGTTGCCCAGAGACCATAGCCCTACTCCAGAGTACTGACTTACTGGTCCAGGGGCAGAAGACCTTTGCACTGCGAAGAGCTGTTGGCCCACAGGGCATGAGGGGAGAACAGAGCCAAACGTGGGCCAATTGGCATTTAGTTTGCTATGGCTTATAGCAGGAGTGGACTTTGGCACCCTGAGTAAGGACAAAACTTAGCGACCCCCAAATCTTTCTTATTTTCACAATAATACCTTTTGCAACAGAGTTCAAGCGAAGTCTTGCTTTCTGTTCTGTGCATGCTCTCAAATGTATTATTTTGTGCCCCCTTGGCTCAGTACCCTGTGTGGGGGAACCATTCACACCACCCTAAATTTAGTGCTACTTATAGCCTGTATACGGGACGCGGGTGGCGCTGTAGGACTTGCTGATCAGAAGGTCAGCAGTTTGATTCCCCGTGACGGGGTGAGCTCCCGTTGCTCGGTCCCTGCTCCTGCCAACCTAGCAGTTCGAAAGCACGTCAAAGTGCAAGTAGATAAATAGGCACCGCTCTGGCGGGAAGGTAAACGGCGTTTCCGTGTGCTGCTCTGGTGCGCCAGAAGCGGCTTAGTCATGCTGGCCACATGACCCGGAAGCTGTATGCCGGCTCCCTCGGCCAATAAAGCGAGATGAGCGCCGCAACCCCAGAGTCGGCCACGACCGGACCTAATGGTCAGGGGTCCCTTTACCTTTACCTATAGCCTGTATGTTCCAAGAGCAGAACAAGACAGCCTGTTTACTTCAATGCTGATACTGATCAGGGCAATGGATAACTGAGTCATCACATGGTTTACAAAAATGCCTTATGGCTTTTCCTGTCCCAAGCTGGGATCGGTACTAAAACCTCATGCAGCAAATTCCTTGAGGATGCTGGTACTTTACAAATGAAGGAGAGGTGGGGGAAAGGATTCCAGACTTTCTATCACGAGGCAATGAAATGTGACAACTCAAGGCAGACTAGCTCATAGCCCACCTTTAGAAAACAGACCAGATACCTTTTGCCCCCTGTGGGAGGAATCATTCCTGAAGCATGGAAACAGATCTCCGCATCAGCGCCACTCCAAGGGGAAAGAGTGACTCAGCACAGTTAACAAGCAGAAATAGCTAAACAAAGTGAAGCAAGAGGGAATGCTATCCAAGCAATTTGGCAGCGCAAGGTTGGAAGGAGGTGGAAGCCCTGAGAGCAAAGGATGGAGATCATTTAGAGGTGGCGGCTGAATGACTTTTTCAAATCGTCATCTCTGCTACCCCTTCTCTTCCTCTCTACTCACTGCCACTCAGGTATCCTCTCTCTTCCAGAATGTGACTGTCCAAGATCCACTGGAGCTTGCCCCATGACTTTCAGGTGATGGCATTAAGCCATAGCTGTCAACTTACAGATTTGAAAATAAGAGACCAGCAGCCTCAAAAATAAGGGCTCAGCAGCCAAAATAAGGGATTTTGCGAGCACAGGTATGTTCAACTTCTGAGCCCCTCCGAGCCAAAGGCAGGAAGCCCAGCCAGCAGCCAAACGAAACCTCAAGCACTGGTTCCCACAGCGCAGCAACCCGGCAAAAGGGATGCAGCAAGGAAAACCACCGTCACCTCTCCGCTGGGAAGCGCTGAGCAAAGGCGAGTCCCCAGGCACCGCGGCCGATTTGATCGGCACAAGGCATGCAAGCTCCCAGTCGTTCTTAGACTCCTTATTGGGTGAGCAACGCAGCCAAACAACACAGTTGGAGCCTCCCTCCTCCCTGGCCGGCAGGGAGGGAGGGAGGGAGAGGAGCTGCTTCCTTTGAAACCTGGGAAATTTAAGGGACATCATCAATAAGGGACAGCAGCGGGACACGGCGCTGGGATAAGGGACTTTCCCGCCAAATAAGGGACGGTTGACAGCTATGCATTAAGCCCCATTGGAAATGGATTGCTGCACTAGCAGCAGACTGGTACTGCAAACTGCCTCTCCTCCCTAGGCCCAGATGCTGGGCGGTGCTGGTGTTTGGTTTTCCCCTCCTCACACCTTCCAAGGGTGGCGAAACACACATTGGTGTGACCAAACTAGGATGCTCTGACCATGAGAACATAAGAAGAGGCTGCTGGATCAGGCCATTGGGCCATCTAGTCCGGCATCCTGTTCTCACAGTGTCCAGCCAGATGCCTGTGGGAAACTAGAGATCAGAACATAATAATAATAAATAATAATAATAAATTTTATTTATACCCTGCCCTTCCCACCCAAGACTGGGCTCAGGGCGGCTGACACCAGGTATAAAAACAATGATTAAAATACAACTTAAAAACAAGATTAAGTACAACATTAAAATGCAGCCTCATTTCAGTAGAAACTCAAATCAAAAACTTTTTGGGGATGAAAACGTCAAATCTTCACCAAGGCCAACTATCCAGACTGGTCCTACGGGGGCCAGAAGAAAGCCAGTGAAATCCCCAAATAGGAGTTCCATCACAGAAGGAGAAAGGAAAAAGGAAAGAGGGGGAGGGGATCAAGTTGATTCCAAGCCAAAAGCCAGACAGAACAACTCTGTCTTACAGGCCCTGCGGAAAGAAATCAGATCCTGCAGGGCCCTGGTCTCATGAGGCAGAGCGTTCCACCAGGTCGGAGCCAGAGTTGAAAAGGCCCTGGCTCTGGTTGAGGCTAATCTGACTTCCTTAGGGCCCGGGACCTCTAGGTTGTTGCTATTTATGGACCTCAAGGTCCTCCGCAGGGCATACCGGGGAGGCGGTCCCATAGGTATGAGGGTCCTAGGCCGTGAAGGGCTTTAACATAACACAAGAACCCTCTCCCTTCCCATGGTTCTCAGCAATGAGTATCTGGAAGCATTTCTGCCTCCACCTGTAGAGGTAGAACATAGCTATCATGGTTAGTAGCCTTCACTAGCTCTGTCCTCCAGTAATTTGTCCAATTTTTAAAGCTTTCCAAGTTCGTGGCCATCACTACCTCCTGGGGCAACAAGTACCATAGTTTGATTGTGTTGCTTGAAGAAGTATCGCAGAATCTTATAACTGTAGGGTTGGAAGTGTTGGTGGCTCTCAGGATCAAGTGTTACAGAACAAAGGAAACATGTCTACTCTCTCCTTCTTCTCTGAGAGAGAACAGAAAAAGCAAAAGTACAACAAAGACTGAACAGCGTAACTGAACTTCCATTCTCATGACTCTGATAGTATGGAATGTCAACACAGACATGTGATGAAAACAATCACACATCAGCAGTGGAGAGAATGAAATCCCAACAGGAAGGGACGCCAAGGGTCATCTAGTCCAACCCCCTGCGATGCAGGAATCTCAGCTAAATCATACAAGACAGATGGCCCTCCAACCTCTGCTTAAAAACCTCCAAGGAAAGAAAGTTCACAACCTCTTGTGAGAATCCCACCCACGGTTGAACAGCTCTTACTGTCAAAAAGTTCTTCCTGGTGTTTAGTCCAAACTTTCTGTGATGGCCTGGGATTCGGACTCAGATGCTGAACCTGAGGGATCCCAGCCTGCACAGGATTCCCCGCCTCCAGAACCAGCTGAGCTGGAGCTGGGGCATCAGCCTGAAGGGTCCTCACCTGTGCTGGATCCTCAGGTGCAGGCATCAGCTGAGTCTGCTCTGGCTCCTGAGGTGATGGAGGACCCATTGCCTGCAGGTGCTCCACCCCCAGCCCCGTCAGAGGAAGCTGGGGTTGCCTCTGGGTCCTGTAACCCTCCAGCCTCGCCTGAGCTGCAGAGGTTCAGGGCAGAGAGGCGGAGGGAACTAAGTTCCCGCAGGAGGAGTGCTCGCCTCCAGGCCAGGAGAGGTGAGTCACCAGAGGATCGGGGCCGCCCTATGCCTCGGGGCAGATAAAAGCCGGCCAGCCCCAGTCCCAAGTTGCAGGAGCAATATTGTTGGTTGCTAGTTCCTGCCTGAACCCTGTCCTGCTTTCCTGCCTGAGCTCCTGACCTGACCTGGCTCCCTCTTTGCAAGCCTTTTCCTGACTTCACCTGACTCCCTGCCCTGCACCCAGCTTCAGCTACTACCAACTGCCTCCACATTGCACCTTTGACCACGGACCGGACTTGGACCTTGCCTCTCGGGTAACCCATGGGACTGGCACACTTTCTTCTGTCTGTTCCAGTGTTCAGCATCATAGGATATCCATCAGTTTTAGTGTTATGAAAGAGGGAGAAAACCCTTTCTCTATTCACTTTTTCTATGCCATGCCTAATTCTGTAAACTTCTGTCATAGCACCTCTTTCTCACCTTTTCTCTGCATCAATAAGTCCCAAACATGGCTGTTTCTCCATTGGGGAATCCTTCCAGCTCCTTGATTATTTTGGTGGCCCTTTTCTGAACCTTTTCCAACTCGACAATAGCCTTTTTGAGGTGTGGCAGCCAGATCTGTACACATCCCTCCAAAGTGGTCACACCATAGATTTGTATAATGGGATTATGATACTGGCAGTTTTATTTTCAATTCCTTTCCTAACTATCCCTAGCATGGGATTTGCCTTTTTGATGGCCATCACCCACTGGGTCGACACCTTCCTTGAGTTATTTACTGTGACCCCAGGGTCTCGCTCCTCCACCCTACTGTCAGCACAAGAGAACGGCTGTAAATGGATTCTCCCAAATATTGCCACAGACTCCAGCCTGCTGCAATTGGTTGAATAGAAGTAGCAGATTCCACCCAGTCTGCAGGTCATACATTTCCCAACCTAGGAGTAGTCAAAGGAAAGCGAAGGACACTGTGGTACTGCCCAAAAATTGTGAGGATGGTGCCTGCTCTGTTCTGGAATTTGATCATGTACCAGTACTATATCCCGGGCATGAAAGGAGTGGGAAACACTAATATGGAGGTGAGGAATGCAATCACCCTTGATTTCTCCAATTACAGAATGGAATATCAATTTTGAAAAGACAGAGAAGCAAAGACAAAATATCATTGCAGAGACAGAAGCTTGGATCAATTCTTTCTTTCTCCAAATAGGACCACCTGTTGTTCTGACATCACTGTTGGATGAAGCAGCCATTTCTTGTCCAGCTAAAAGTAAACACATTTGTTACCATCTGCAAAAAAGCAGAGGTAAAGAAAGACTGGAAGGGGAGAAAAGGAGAGGGAATCAGGATTAAATAAGGGGAAGAACTTTGGGTTATCCTTGTTTTGCATTGATTTTGGAATCGGGATGGATTTGGGCAAGAGCATGTAACCATGTGGATTTCAGTGATTGACCATCCTTACACATGTGATGTCAAGGGAAAGGGTATCCATTTATGGGGTTTTCCTGTTATTTATCAGCCAACAGTGAACTAGCCAGCTATTTTGTATTGGCTATCTCATCCTGGAAAGAAGTCAAGACCTTATTCAACACAGCTACTGAAAGCAGAAAGAAAATGACACCACACAAATTCACGTTTAAATCGAACTTTCCCCTGCAGGTTCCTCCACGTCCGTCTCCAGCTCCTCCTCTGCCCCACTCTCCCTCCTGTTTTCCCCCACTGGGCTCACACACACCTTTTGCACACAAACACAGCATTCTATTTTTCTTTTTTGAAGGAGAGGCAGAGGCAAGAGTGGGCTGGTGCTGTCTCCATCTGCTTGTTCCAGAACCATTTCAGATTTATGAGAAGGAGGGATTTTGCCTCAGCTTCCTTCCTCCCTCCACCCCCCCAAGAGATAAGGGATGGGTCAGCCTGGTCCTTCCCACCTGGAAGTTGAAGAAACAAGCCAGTGTAGGGATAGCATGATCTGTTCCTGCTCCAGGAGATCTATTGGCTTCTGAACTGGGCAGAAGAAAGGGTCAACATATGCATCTTCATGCATCTTCAGTGTATGCGTGCTTCCTAAGATCTTGAGCCTAGAATCATGGATGTACTGCAGGAATGTTGCCTTACACAGATCTCTTAATGGGTTGCTGTGACTTACTGTAATATGGTGTGTCATTTTAGGTGGTGAAACTTAATGTTTGCAAATTGCTTCAGCAAGGGGTCTTAAAAATACGTTTTTGGGTGTGAGGAATTCAAATCTGCTATTATTTTTGTGATTGGACAACATTTAGATGGGCAAATCTATGGTCGATTGAAAAGCATGTAAAGTGCTCTCGGAAAGCCAAAGAATTTTAATTTTACCTTCTGAAAAAGTTTACCTTCTGAAAATGTCAGGTAATGCTATAAAATGTTAGGTAATGCTATAATTTTTTTTAAAGTTTCTCTGCATAAAACATAGCCTGCTAAGCATGAAATATTATTTTGCAATGCTGAAAGTAAAAGTGAACTGACTGTGCATGGTTGGGTATTTTCCTAGAGTTCCAAAATACCCTTGAGCTAAATCACCCAAGAGTTTCTCAGTATCTTCCATACTAAACACACAGATCAGTTTGTTTTTGAAAGCATATATTTTGGGTTAAGGGATCTTCCATTCTACCCTCAGCGGAATCGCCATCGACACAATTAATGTTTTATATAAATAAATAACGATGGTTAATCACTGGTTTCAGATGTGGGCAAATTGTTTCTCCTGAATTGTTCTAGACACATGAAATTTATATTTTAGATGAAGACAGACATATTACCTAGAGATCACAGTACAGCTGCCTTGCAAAAAATAACTTTCTCTATGAGGTCAGTAATTTTCCGCAATTTTATATGGGGGGAAATCAGTCACTGAAAAGATATACAGGGTCTCTTTCTAACAATCATTTTCTTTTGCTACCCCATTGCCAAGATTACAGAACTCCCTCTTTACACATATGAAGGCAGGAGCAACACACCTTAAAGGGTCACAAGGGAGTCTCTGAGTTCTCTAAAAGTTAATGTTCATAATTTTGTTCAACTTCAGTGTTTTCACTGCGGCACCTTTAGAGTGCTTTGCGTATGTAGCTTATTAAGTTATCAAGGCATTGCTTCATTTTAAGGTGGCCAGTTTAAGATTGGAGGAGACTTCATAGCATTATTGGAATGTCGTCTTCTTGTGTGGGATCAAAAGGGACATGGCATTGACTTCATGTCTGTCTTTTGCCTCGTGATCACCTGCTTTCATCCCTATCTCTGCTACAGCAAGTTCCAGCATTCCAAACCTGTGAGCAGCTTGCAAAGTCTTGGCAAGAAATAAAATAAATGTAGTGAAAGCAATGTTGGATAGAGACACAGTTAGCCTAGCCTAGCATTTGATGGAGTCTGGACTTTAGAAGTGAGCTCTGAAATGACAGCATTAACTTCTCTCCTTGTTATATTTAAGGTTCTGCATAGACTCACTTTCCACCTTTATCTTTTAAAACCCAGTCTCTCATTGCCTGTGACCTCCAACTGTAGCATCCTAAGGCATCTGAGGGTCTCCTGCTCTGCTCACTTTCACTTGCTACCCCTTATGCCAGGAACTGCTCTTCTGAACACATAAGTGCCAGCTTTCTCTGTGACTCAACACCCAAGTCTTCAGCTAAAGCAAAGTCTGAGTGTATGTGCTTCCGTTAATTCCCTATTTACCGTATTTTTTGCTCTATAAGACTCACTTTTCCCCTCCCAAAAAGTAAGGGGAAATATGTGTGCGTCTTATGGAGCAAATGCAGGCTGCGCAGCTATCCCAGAAGCCAGAACAGCAAGAGGGATCGCTGCTTTCGCTGAGCAGCGATCCCTCTTGGTGTTCTGGCTTCTGGGATTCAGAATATTTTTTTTCTTGTTTTCCTCCTCGAAAAACTAGGTGCGTCTTGAGGTCTGGTGCGTCTTATAGAGCGAAAAATACGGTACCTTCACATCTCCCTCTGTTGTCTTCCCCATCTAAATTTAGGGCGTATGTTCCTTGGGGCGGGGTTTTTTTAGCGCAGAAAATCTGCAGAGATAACCTCCTTCACACATTCATGCATATCATGTCCCTGCTAAACATTTGACAATTTGAAGCTGAATTGTGTGAACTGACTGTATTGAAAGTATTGTTTGAAATAATCTGGGGAATTATGAAAATTCCACCTTGTGTATGTGATCCCTGGTTGCTCATTTACACATGAAAGCAACCAAGCAGTACGCATGACTAAGTGAAAAGGGTCTGTTAATGTAATCTCCCACTACTACTGTTAACATTTGTCTGTGGCTTAGGTTTGGAAGGGACATGTTTCAGTCTGTTATACTGGTTCTGCGAGGACATGGAGAATTGCGAAGGGGATTCGGAAAGAAATCAAAGCGCTCTTGCCAAGTGAAAAAGATTCTGAGAGGCAAAGAGATCAGCTTGGGAACGTGGAGGTGAGCATCATGTGCAAATGTTGTTGATGAGGTGGGTTGTGTTAACAGACTCTCTTGGTTTCTGTTCTTGCCTAAATTCCGTAAGAGACGATCACATAACAACACCTGTGATCTTCGGATGAAGGGTGGTATACAGTTAATAAACAACAGCAAAACACCCCAAAATGGTTTTCCCTTACAGCAGGCATGGGAAAACTTTGGCTTTTCAGATGTTGTTGGACTACAACTCCCATCATCCCTCGCCATTGGTCATGCTAGCTGGGGCAACGCTACCTGGAAGGCCAGAGGTTCCCCACCCCCGTTTTAGATGTATATCCATCACTAGGCCGCAATAATCCTTCCTTTAGAAGGACAGTGAATTTCAAAAGTTAAAGTGCATTAGAGGGAATGCTAAAATGGGAAAGAGAAACTGTGATTTCAACTGCTTTTGCAAGATACGTAGTTACCAGAGGAGGAGGCCACCGCTCTAGTGCACAGCTGTTTAATGCATTAATCTGCAGACATAGTTATTCTCTGGCTGGAGTCCACAGGCTTCCCTAAGACCAAAAAATGAGCTCTGACTGGGTTTTTCAAGTTAGTAAAATCTATGTATGTGTTGTCAGTGCACATCTGGAATTTAAAACTGCTAATGGATCTGCTGTGAAAGAAGAGAAGGGAGAAGTGTCTAGCCAACCAACTCATATGTTAAAAAGCATTACTACATTGCTGGCAGGCAGCCCTTTGCTCTCTTAACTTTGCACCAGTAAAATTGGAATGCTAAAACAGTCAGATAGGGGCTCAGTGCATATGCCTTGAGGCCTACTGGAATGCAGATTTACCACTCCCACCCACAAAGGAGTATTTAAATAGCAAGCTACTAGGTTTTGTGGGTGGGGGGTGTACAAATCATCTGCCAACGTATTGTATATTTTATTATCATATCAAACACAGTGATAACACATTAGGTCCCTGGGCTAAATCTGGTAGCCTAACCACTCGGTTGGTAACCCAGAAGCAATGGGGTATGAAGGGAGTGGTGGTTGTGGTTCTAGTATTTGCCACCAGCCTACTTTGGGACATAGTATTGGGTGCCTGGTTTGAACTCTTTCCCCCCTCCTCAAAATACCTCTCTAACAGAACAAGGTACTAACTGAGACACAAAATTCTTGAATAAACATTGTTCTGGAGTAGCCAAAAAGCTCGCTGCTGGAAGATGATCATCTCATGCATGAAAGAAAGAAAGGAGGACATGACAAAAGGTATGTAGATTGCACTCCAGAAATCACAGGAGTACTCAGAGCAGAACCCTAAATGATTCCTGTTACATGCATTGTACAAGATGAGCCTCAGCAGAAGACAGGGGATGCACAAACATTTAAATGTCGTGTTAATAGATATTGCAACAGCTGTGAGGGATTGGGGGAAAATAAAGGACAAAAGTACAGTGGCATGATTTGCTGTGCTGTTTCCCAGTTTTGTACATTAATTAAAGCCATTGAGATTAATTAAACCCCTTAGATCTAATGCTGGAATACATTAAAGGCAAGCCAATGGATGAATGCAATTATAGAAAATAAATTTAAGGGGGTAAAGACAATGGAAAAAATCAGAGGCAACTCTCAAGGTCAAAAAGGGGATAAAGCAAAAGAAACCGGGGCGTGTTTTTGCTAAAAGAAAGTAAGAACCTGGAATTTAAAAAAAGTTTGATTTGGGTCTTTTCCGCTGCGGCGAAGCGGGGACCCTTCTGGAAATCACAGGCGGATGAAGCCTGTGACCGTGGGACTCAGCGGGCACCCTTAGCGCCCCCCCAACCCGCAAAGGAACCCACAAACGGGCTCCGAAGCGAAGAGGGGGAAGTGGCGCGGTGCTGTGAGTCAATCGCTTTCCCGCGGAGCGATGCTGCATAGCCGTTGCCGGAGAGCGCTGCCTTTTCCTGGGACAATTTGGCATCTAAAATAACCAACCGTGAGTACTGGAACATTGAATATCTGGACTTTAAATAAGAACTGGTGAAATAGAAAGGAATTTGGACTTAAAAATTTACCCTAATTTGGTACTGAAACGGAAAGGTTTAAACAGGAAGTCAGCCTTCCGTTTCCCTGTAGCCAGAACAAAGCAAAGACAACGCAAACTAGAGCTTTAAAAATCACTCTTAAAGGATTGACTTTCATCATTTAAAATCGCTGAACCCCCCTTAGGTAGCAGGAGAAGAAGGGGGAGTTTTTTTCAAGCTGTTTAAACCTGCAGAAGTGAATCTAAAGCAAAGTAATTTTCCACCGTCCTGATCCTGGAGCGGGGTGTCAGAATTGACGTTTGAAGCTCACTGACCAGAAACAAATGTCTTTGACAGATAGTTAAAAGAAGAGAAACATAGTGACTCCATTGCTCCCTTTCGCATCTTAAAAGAACAAATATGGACAAAATATCTTAAAAAAGAAACTTTGTTGCTATTGTTTTTAAGAGAAAGAACAATCAGAAGTTTTTCCCCCTAGTGGGGAACTGTGAAATTGTAACTAATCCCTGGGAGCTTGCAGCTGTCACTGATTACAACCGTGGGAAAGGGTTTGTGACCTTGCAGGACAATGTCTGCAGAAGCACTGTTGGGTGCTTTCTGCAAAATAAATGCCTTATTGGATCAGCTAAGCCAGAAGACGGATTTGATGACGAATGCGGCCAGAACCTTTGAACAGGTAGTGGGAAACTATATGGAGCCCACCCAGGAACTAAAACAGGAGCGTGCCATGACAGAACAGCTGAGAGATGAGGATTCTGCTGAATCTTGGGCGCCAGAGACGGAAGGAGCTGCGGCCCAGCAGGAATATAAATTTTTGGATTTGACAAATGAACTTGGAAAAGACCAGACTTGGAAAGAAAAAATTTGGTTTGGAAATGGGGAGGGGGTGGATAGACCCCCCCTATACAGGGAGATTTGGACTTTTCGAGTCTGGAAAGGGGCCGTCAGATGTCTGGAGCAGTGGGGGCTCTCAACTTTGAAGGGAATCTGGAACATAGAATCATAGAATCATAGAATCATAGTTGGAAGAGACCACAAGGGCCATCGAGTCCAACCCCCTGCCAAGCAGGAAACATGTTTTTAAATACTACATCGAGTCTAGTCTGGACTATGGAAAAGGGACTGTTTTGTTGAAAAGGGTCAAAAACATTACCAAGCTGGAGTTCCCACGAATAAAAGGAAAATATGAAGAAGAGCTGTGGAAGGGACATGGAAGAGACTTGAGGGCCTTGGATATAAGATTGCCAGGTTAATGTGCTAGATTAATAGGACAAAAAGGACTGACAAAACCCGGGACCAGGAGGAAGGGACGCTGGATGAAGATTGGATTGCTTAAGTTTCTATTTCTATCATTAGGACTGTTTTACAAAATTGATGAATGTTAGGAAAATGTTGAAATGAAATTATTTGGCTCTTATAAAAATGTCTAAAGAATTAGGTAAGAATGTTATGGTTAGGAGAAATTGGTAAAAATTAAGATTTAAAGGATTTGCTGTGATTATTCTAAATCAGGATACAGGAAAAGGGAGGAGGAGGTGGTCAAGGAAAGAAGGTATTGAAAGTGGAGAATTGGAGAATGATGGTTTTACTTTTTCTTTTTCTTTCTTTTTGTCTTGTTTCTTTTTTTGTGTGTAATTCTAAAAAAAAAATTTCTCAATAAATGTCATTTAATAAATAAATAAATAGTTTGATTTGGAAATCTGGGAAGCAGAAACAGAGAACAGACACACTAAAATAAAAAGTCAAAGTTGCAACAGGTGAGTTTGCAAATGAAGTATGGGATGGTTGCTTCAAAGTCCCTCAGGGCAATACATTAGATGGAGGACAGGGACAACTACTATTCCAGGTGCACTGTTACATAGATCAAGAAGCAGAAGAAGAACTAGAGTTTATGGCAGAGACCAGCAACTAGTTCCAATGGAAGTTGTCAATATTCTGCACAGAAAACTGGGGTAATGAATGCACAGGAAAGGAAGTGGAAGCACATTTAAAGGAAGAGGGTATTAAGCACCGAGCAACCGTGAACAAAACGTAGTAGCGGAAAGGGAAAACTGTACTCTAGCTGAGATGACAGGATTCATGTTATTCCATGCATACTGGGGCAAAGCAATTATGGCAGCCACTTATTTAGGAGGAAGCAACATGTGGCCAGGACATATTTTGCTCACCTCATCCCACTGATAAATTTATTCTCCATCACTACCTGTGAGCCTTCCTTTCTTTTCAGTGGTCCGTTTACATCAAGCGCAATGTCTCCATCTTCATTCCAGCAGCAGCTTCTTCCATTCCATTCCCTTTTCTGTAGTCAAAATATGTTAGATGTTTCCCAACCTTTCTGTGACCATTCTGTGATGACCTCCTCCTTACCAGGGACAGCCAATGAGACCAAGAGTTCCTTTTTAACATTTTGCATCATGAAAAGGGGAGTGGAAAAGTGAAACAATGCCTGTTCAGTGATGGTCTGGATGAAGACTAAAATTAATACAAATACACGCCCCCCCCTTGACACAAAAAGAAAAAGCAGTGCATTAGAAAGCTTTATTGCATGATGTGTTTACATAATGCGGTAGAAGTGAACTTTAAAATTATATCAGAGATTTCTGGGCACAGGTCAATGGTCAATATTCTAAGCCTGCATGGCACAAACTTTTTAAATCTAAAACAGAAGAGTAATTTGGGAGCAGAGATAGGTGTTGAGTATTTTTAAAAGGAAACTCCTGTTATACTCAATGTAGTGCCAAAACTGGATGAAGATTGCGACAAATTATCAGTGTGCTGGGATGCAGGAAATTGGGTTTTTTTTGGGGGGGGGGAGTTAATTCAAGTTCTTCATTAAGTAAAACTGTGAGGATGAAATATTAAATTCAACATTTTACAGGTCTTTGCCTACAGCCAGGAAAACAACAAAATGAACAATGGTGTGCGTGTGTGTTCCCTGCAGGATATATATTTGACCATGCATGGCTTGTTCTTAAATTACAATTCATAGAATAACACTGCTGGAAAAAAAGCTTATTTTACACTATGCTACACACAAAACAAAGTCTAGTCACATTTACACATTTTTACAATAATTCTTTGTCTAGAAACGTGTCCTTTTCTACTTTAGAACTATATCTTTTTTAAATTCCCAGTTCACAGAAAAGACACAAGAAGTCCAAAGACAGTCCTTTGAAAAGGGAAATGCAACCCAACATCACAAATGGGCTTCTTCATTCACAAAAAAATCTTGTATTTCACAGCTGTTAAAACTTAGTGATGGATAGTTGTAAGCCATCCATACCTATGCTTTAGGTAGCAAAGTCAAAGTAAAGTATTTCAAAATTAAAGGATTTCTCCCCTTGCATGTGTGTAAATTATAGTCTTTAGAATGCTCCTTTGAATTAGTCATGTATCTAAGTGAATTGTTAAGTACTGTAACGACATGTGAACCCCACCCCCACTTCACATTAATTGATGAATGTGGAAATTATTTTTACTACAGCTTCTAATAAAGAAATGCTTCATTTTGACCAGGAAAACACAAAGCTCTCTGTGCTTTACAGAATACGGAGGCTATTTGTGAAAGTGCAATCTTTTGCTTTACAATCTGGATGGAGTAGGAATCCAAAACTATTTGAAAGGTGTAGAAGACTGGATAGGGAATTCACCGCAAGACTCTCCTGCACAAATGAATGTGCTCCTGAAATGCATGGGAAAGAGCACTCAAATGGAACTTGCACAGGAGAACTTCCGAGTGGATCGTGTCCAAAATCCAAGTCTCATTAACGTTACATGACTTTCCCTGAATATTACTAGCAACAATATATATATAAAACTAAGAAACCTGACCCACCTAGGCTGCCAGCCTAAACACACTTACCGGGGAGTAAGTCCATTGAATTCAACGGGGCTTACATCTGAGAAGACATATATAGGCTTGCACTGTGCATGTTACTTGCCATGTTCTTGCGTCCAGCAACAGGACTGCATCAGTTTACAAATCTAAAATGGTATTTGCATTCCTGGCTAATAATTGCCTGAGTATGGCTTTCTAGAAAACCTTTGAGTGTTGATGGACGAATGAAAAGTGCACATGGGGATGGGGAGAGCTGCAAATATTCAACCTAAAGCAATTAATTTCAAGGCCATCGACTGAAAACATTTTTTAATAAATGGGGGTCAGATTTAGAAGTTCAGCTAAAGTTAGTAAGAGCTAGCAACGTTTTTGAAGAATGAACTCTGCAGAATGCTGTATGAGTTAAAGGCAGTGGATAGCCTTGATCATGTTGCCAGGCTTCGCACTGTGACCCGAAGCATCCCACATGCCACACCTTCAACATTTTTGCTTTTAGCCAACTACAACCGACATTCAGAATAGGAGGGGAGACTGAACCATGTGACTTCAAAATAGACATTGCTTCTAGAGAAAACTGCTTGGTTACTTTTGGTGCATTTTTTCGAATGTTACACTATTCATGCTGAGGAATTCTTTGCATTGCCATTTTTAGCTGAGAGTTTTTTCTGAACTCAAGAAAACAATTATTAAGGCTTGTGAGAAAATGACAGGTAGGGCTCAGCGGACAAATAGATTCCCTTGTTACATAACATCTGAAATCTGTTATGTAGATGTTTGAACTAAGAAAGCGGTGAGTGAAAAATGTAGGTTTTGCTGTGATCGTACGTTTTGAAGCATGTTGCATGGAATTCCTTTGGGCAT